GATTGAAACTTGTCGTGGCAACGTGAAGGGTTATATTTATGTAATGCGGAGACCGGTGGGTTCATGTTTCTAGTATCATAAGATTCCTACGCATGTTATTGTGAGTTAAAATTGAGGGATTTGCCACGTACGAACGAACCACTGTCCCGCTTATGCTTATGCAACAGATCCACGTATTGTGTGATGACGTCATCTTTTTTAAAGGCCAAATCCTCATTTCTCCTCCCAACCTGCCATCAAAGAAAGGAACGATCGAAAACCTAACCTACAGACACACACACACACACACACACATCTCTTGAGTTTTCCCAACATTGTTTTCTTCCGCTTCTCAATCCCTTCTCTCCGCCTGGCTCCCGACTTTCTCTCTCTCAGATCTACGACTATTTGTTTCCGATTTCGCCTTTGAGCGAACCCTAGACTTCTTGCGGGGAGGCTTTTTTGTAAGTAATCGCGGGATTTCTCTCTGTTCATACTCGCTCTGTAAAATCTCAGGAAACCCTAGTTCCTCTCCACGCTCCTGTTCTTGTTGTTCAGATCCTCTCTAGGCAGGGTCTTTTTACTTGTTTCTTTGTTAGCAAGCGTTTAGAGATCGACGAAGGTTGTGATGAATACCGGAGGAAGGTACCCCCCGGGGATTGGTGCGGGTCGTGGGTCCATCAACGCCAACAACCCTGGCTCCCAATCGAGGCCTGTTTATCAGCAGCAGCCGCAGTACGGTCAGCGTGGCAATTACGCTCAGAACCACCAGCGGTTTCAACAAGCGCCACCGCCGCCGCCGCATCAGCAGCAACAGCAGTGGCTTAGGAGAGCCCAGTTCACCGGCGGAAACAACGGAGACGCCGTTGATGAGGTCGAGAAGACCGTTCAATCCGAAGCTATTGACTCAAAGTGAGTTTTTTCATCATTTTCCTACACTTCGAGCTCCCCCACATGGTTGTTGCCTTGTTGGATATTGTTAAATTTATGTTTTAATTCCTTCTCCTTGTCCTAGTCGGATATGGGCATCTTTATATTTTTCCTTCTCTTTGACGATGCTACTCGAAAAAGAGGTTTATATTTAAGCGCAAGGACAGCAATTCGAGACCCTTGTGATGTGGTTTGAAACGATTAGTTCTTTGTCTCTTATGCTACGATGACAATCGACTGTTATTGTGGGCTCTCTATCTGTTTTATCACGTACGGCAATCCTTTGAGGTAGGAGCTAGTACATTAATTCTGCCTTTCTGTTGACGTTTTCTCTCCCAGTTCTCAGGACTGGAAGGCGAGGCTAAAACTACCCCAGCCTGATACTCGCTACAAAACAGAGGTAACTTTACTTTTTTCGGTTTAGCTTATTGATTTTGGGGAGACCATACATGTGGCCATTTCCTTGCATCTATTGAGTAGGGAAGGAGTATCTTGATCTTGGTTTGAATGCTCAATTTTCGAGTGTGGTTATGAATTGGTTCAGTGGTGCTCTCGTTCACTTAACTACTTCATATGAAACTTTCTTGTCGTTTGTTGTGTGACCTGTAAAACCTTTTGAAAGAAGAAATCTTTGGTTCCATGTCTAGTATTGAGAGTTACATGTAAATGCAAAGTTTCGTTTTGTTTTGCCACCTGCAAATGCATGGTCTATCGTTTTGGCCTGGCTTCTGGTCCTTTTGAACCAATTGTTGATTCAATATCGTTTTCAGGATGTGACAGCCACGAAAGGAAATGAATTTGAAGATTATTTTTTGAAGCGGGAACTTCTCATGGGAATTTATGAGAAGGGTTTTGAAAGACCCTCTCCCATTCAGGAAGAGAGTATTCCAATTGCCTTAACCGGTAGTGATATTCTTGCCAGAGCCAAAAATGGAACTGGGAAGACAGCTGCATTTTGTATTCCTGCCTTGGAGAAAATTGACCAAGATAATAATGCTATTCAAGGTAACTGTCACTTGGACAATCTCTTTTTGGCGCTATACAATTGTTTCCTTGAACTGCTGGGGGATGTGATAAACGACTTTGAAATGCTGAAGCTGTTCCTTGATTTTGTCAAGTGGTGTGAAATCTTTTTCTTTCTTTTACCCTAGTCTTTCCAGTTTCCATTCTTGTTTGGGGTTGTCATTTGTGCCTGTTTTATATGCAGTTGTGATACTTGTTCCAACGCGAGAGTTGGCTCTTCAGACATCACAAGTCTGTAAGGAGCTGGGCAAGCATTTGAAGATTCAAGTCATGGTAACCACTGGTGGCACCAGTCTGAAAGATGATATCATGCGTTTGTACCAACCGGTCCATTTGCTGGTTGGGACTCCTGGGAGGATCCTAGATCTTACCAAAAAGGGTATTTGTGTACTAAAAGATTGTGCGATGCTCGTTATGGATGAGGTAAATGTTTGATGTTTTATCTTTTATATACTTACCTGTTTCTCTTGCTTTTTTTATGTTTTCTAGAATCTAATTCTGTGTGCATCTGTTCATCAGGCTGATAAGCTATTGTCTCAAGAGTTCCAACCTTCGGTGGAGCAGTTGATTAGGTTTCTTCCAGGAAATCGTCAGATTTTGATGTATTCAGCCACATTTCCCGTCACAATTAAGGACTTTAAGGATAGGTATCTAAGGAAGCCTTACATCATTAACCTCATGGATGAACTTACACTGAAGGGTATTACACAATTCTATGCTTTTGTTGAAGAACGTCAGAAAGTTCACTGCTTGAATACCCTATTCTCCAAGGTTAGGTCTGAAACAAAAATTGATATGTTTGTTCACCTTCTTTGTCAACCTTTTACAACTTTCTACTTCTTTTGCAGCTGCAAATAAATCAATCGATCATTTTCTGCAACTCAGTGAACCGTGTGGAACTCTTAGCTAAGAAAATCACAGAACTTGGTTATTCCTGCTTTTACATTCATGCGAAGATGCTCCAAGACCACCGTAACAGAGTGTTTCATGACTTCCGCAATGGTGCATGCCGGAATCTTGTGTGTACTGGTATGTTAACATGTTTTTCCTTGTTATTGTTGGGCCACGATGAAGGAAATTCATGCATATATACACATGTCTTGTGCGTCGTCTGAGTCTTTCGCTTGAAATATAATCATTGTGCATGGACCAACTTTATTGTTACAACCTTGACTTTGTATTTTTTATCATAAATGTTTTGATTGAGTAGTTGGCGATGATCTTTTGATGGTTGTGCAGACCTGTTTACACGTGGGATTGACATTCAAGCAGTCAATGTTGTGATTAACTTTGATTTTCCGAAGAACTCAGAAACTTATCTCCACAGGGTAAGCTGGAAACTCTGGTTGTCCTCGACTCCCTCATGCCTATTTATGGTCATTTTGAGAATTAATATGTGGTCACTTTGCAGGTTGGTCGATCAGGAAGATTTGGACATCTTGGTTTGGCTGTGAATCTGATCACTTATGAGGATCGTTTTAACTTGTATGTTTTTTCTGTTGTCTGCTTTGAACACCTGATTCTGTCTGCAGCATACTGAAGGCCATTTTCATTCACTTTTGCAGGTATAGGATTGAGCAAGAACTTGGAACTGAAATCAAGCAAATTCCTCCGCATATTGATCAGGCAATTTATTGCCAATAACTATGAAAAGGATCTCTTTTGTTTCATCTGCCGTTAGGAGTCCCAGTGGTGAGTGATTAAGGATGTTTACTTTTCCGACACATGTTAAGAGTAGGTTATCTAGAAACTCAGATGATTTACACTAATTACTCCTTGTTTGCTATATGCAACATATATTTGGATTTCTTGCGATATGGATCTCAGACACTGAAGTTGTAAGCCAAGTGGATAACCGTATAGCTGATTTGTGAACATCTATCTACCTGAATTTAGATGCTCTAGTTAATGACATATTTTGAGCTTGGAGTCTCTGTGCTTATCATGAGAAATAGTAATAGATGCCCTTGGACTTTTTGCGCATGTTTCAGGTTGGATGAAGCACTTGGTAGCCCAGGTACACTTAGTCCTGTCATCTGGCAATGAAAAACAGGCACGACACCACCCAGGAGAAGATAGTTTTTGTTTGGGGGGAGACTCGTGGAACTTAGTACTCTGTCTGTCTGTCTGAACTTGCCTCCGGAATGCTATTATGGGTCTCTCTAGATCTTCTTGATTCCAAGTACTAAGAATATTGTTGTTAGACAAAGTTCTAGAATGCTTTAAAATGCCTGGTAATGCTGTTTTCTGTTTCGGGTATGTTTGGTTCTCTGTCTGCTTCTTCTGTCGGTCATAGACTGATTAGAGGGTTTGAGTCTTGTGGGAAAAAAAGCCGTGATTTTTCCGTGGGCCAGTTTCATGTCCTGTTACTGTTAGTGTTTCCAACTTCAATAATAATGTCGTTTTGAGATTTGAATTGCGAATTCCACGGTTGCTTTGGTTTGGTATGTGGTCGTGAGGGAAAGCAATCCTTTGTTTTTTTTGGTTCACATCACATCAATGGGAAGCAAAGAACTAAACAGAGGAGAAGCATATGGAGGAGCACTGAAGTGCATGCTAGCAATTGCACTCAATCTCTCCCATCCCAAGTATGTATCTTATGTACATAATTTTATCTTCTCATCTATAGCGTGGGTTCATATCTGTGCTCTCTCTCTCTCTATATATGCGCATATGCATGCTCATGTACATCGGGATAACGAAATGATTCAGAAGCTGGATTTGGAAAAGATCAGTTTAGCCCAAGAAAGGCCCATGGGCCTTGTTTGGTATATAGACCCGATGTGAAACGACGTCGACTCATTAATCATTCGTATCTCACCGTTTCCCTCCTCTAATGATTAGTCTTTTCGATTGGAGAAGACACTCTCTCTCTCTCTCCCCAGCTTCGCTGTTGAGTTTTATGAACAGAGACCACTTGCTTTCACATCCGCATCACTCCAAAAATTTCCAGGCGGTGCTATTTTGTAATTTTTTTTTGTCAAAGAAAAAACTTCAAATCTGTACGAGAGCACTAACTGATTTTAGGGCTTCTGTTTAAAATAATGCTCAGATTCTTTGTTGCCCTCTCCCACCATTAAAATATTTATCGGCTTGTCGGTAATCATTTTGGCTTATTCTATATTTCTCTCTCTGTCCTGTTGTCTGAAAAACCCTAAAAAAATCATTTCCTCAATGAATTTACAGATGGGTTGATAGATGCACGCATAGCCCACATATACAAACTTGTGATCCGATCTGCCTTTATCTAAATTATCTTCTGGGTATCGACATTTCCGGTTTGTTTATGCTACTCCACATACGTTCATGTCGATTTGATTGAGATTCGGTCTGCAATTTCGGTTTTTATTCTTTCTTATGTAACCACGTGGATTGCTTCTCCAGGGTTTGTCCTGGGTTTTCCCCCTTTTGTTTTCTGGGAACTTTTTTTTAGGGGATCGAGGAACCTATATAGAAGTTCGTGGGTCCAAATATCTCGTAGGTTTGAATTGTAGATAGTGTGAGAATAGGGATCTATTTGATAAGAACAACAAAAAAGGTGATCTGCATCGAGATAAAACAAGTTTCTGCCTTTTGTCCGGTTGATTGGCTCCAGGCAGAATAACTTGGGTGAAGTTAGGGTTCGCTTTTATCATCTTTGAGTTGCTTTCTTCTTTACTTTCGAGTCTCTGTGTTGGTTTTAAGCTTTCCGCTTCTGGGTTTTGTGTCATTTGCTGGGTTTACTGTCACTGGCCGAGTGGAGTCACCATAGTGGAAGCGAGTCGACAAGGTACTGCCAATTTCTTTATCAAGTTGTGCAGTTTTCCTTTTGACTTTTTAGTTGATCTTTGCATTGCTGCGAGGTTTACTGTTTTGACATGAGTGAAATAGTCAAATTTCCCTCCAAAAGATTCGATTTTTATTGGGATTTCAGAGATTTTCTGTGATTTGATTTTGGCGGTTCCTAATTCAGTGGAGTTATGGTGTTCATATGTTCGGTTTCAGGCGTTACGGGTGAGAAACTCGCGTTGGTTTGACGAAGAGACGATCCTTTACTGGAAAAAAAGGTTTTTTTTTTTATGGGCGAGGAAAGAGACAAGAACTAGTTTGAAAGTGGAGTTCGGTCTTACGAAACAGCTGTTGACTGAGTTGATGAGCTTTTCAGTGAGCAACCAACAAAGGTAATAGGCATTAGAATTTTTCACCTTTTTATAGAGTTGCTGAGATGGGGGGTCAGTGCTCTAAGCTCGGTCCATGTTGCCTGAATTCTTCTCACAAAACGGCAGTTCTTGAAGCTCCTGATGTTGGTGAGTTTATTTGACTCTATAATCAGTTTTGGCCCATTGCTTTGTTGCATTTTCTTGGGTTAACAACAAGCTTTGGCATGGTTGGTGTTTTTTTTTGGTTGGGTACCTAATCACAGAAAATGAAGAGAACAATGACCTTACTGATGTCCCCGCCTTCCATGAATACACCCTTGAACAGCTTAAATTCGCCACTTCTGGCTTTGCAGTGGAGAACATTGTGTCTGAGCATGGAGAAAAAGCTCCAAATGTTGTCTATAAAGGGAAGTTGGAGAATCAGAAGAGGATTGCTGTTAAGCGTTTTACACGAATGGCTTGGCCTGATGCTCGTCAATTCCTGGTAAAGATATATTGACTACTGATCTTCTACTGGATACGTCCTTTTTATCTTAACATGGCTTTTGTTTGCTCTCCATTTCTAGGAGGAAGCAAGGTCGGTTGGTCAGCTCCGTAGCCAAAGACTGGCCAATTTACTTGGCTGTTGCTGTGAAGGCGATGAGAGGTTGCTTGTAGCAGAATTTATGCCCAATGATACATTAGCTAAACACCTGTTTCATTGTAAGGCTTACTTGTCTATTTTCACTGATCAATAGTCTTGTAATATTTGCCCACAACTTCTTGTATATGCATGTAAATCCTTGTTAGTGTGGAAAAAAACAAGAAAATAAGTGCACTTCTATGCAACAGGGGAAACACAGCCTATGAAATGGGCCATGCGGCTGCGGGTTGTTTTATACCTTGCTCAAGCTCTTGAATACTGCACAAACAAAGGGCGTACACTTTATCATGACCTTAATGCTTACAGAGTCTTATTTGATGAGGTAATGATAAATTTGAATTCAGTCTTTGTGGGGTATGCCCACATATGCTTTTCCTCAGCTGGTGCGTTTGGTTTTTTTTTTTTTTCAGGAATGCAATGCTAGACTTTCAAGCTTTGGCCTGATGAAAAATAGTCGGGACGGGAAAAGTTACAGCACAAATCTTGCATTCACCCCTCCCGAGTATCTACGAACGGGTGAATCTACTGAATTATTTCCTTTCATGATTCATATGAATTGTCATGCTAAGTGTTTCGAGCGGTTTATGCGATTATTGAGATTAAACGTCCGTATCTTTTGTGTGTTCTGCAGGGAGAATAACTCCGGAGAGTGTGATATATAGCTTTGGCACACTTCTACTTGATCTTCTTAGTGGAAAACATATTCCTCCGAGCCATGTATGTGTCTGGCATATTACTTAAGCCTGTTGAGATTATAAGCAAGAACTAAAGTGATAATGGGTTTCATGAGTTTTTTTTTCTGTGTAGTACTAATATGGTGTCCTAAGATTCCTATAACACTCTTGAACATTGTTCCTCTCTGAATGTAAAGACTGATTCTTGAGCCTCTTGTGGATAGGCCCTTGATCTGATACGTGATCGGAATCTTCAGACGCTGACTGATTCTTGCTTGGATGGACAATTTTCGGATAGCGATGGGACGGAGTTAGTACGACTGGCTTCTCGTTGTCTGCAATATGAAGCTCGTGAGCGCCCAAACGCAAAATCGTTGGTTGCTGCATTGACACCACTTCAGAAGGACATTGAGGTTCTGTTCCTATATTCTGTATCATTTGTTTCTCTGACTTAAAAATTGTTAAGAGGATGTCAAAGCTTCTCAGACCAGTAGAGTGTTCCTTTTCTTCTTAAAAAAACCTGCAGGTTCCATCGCATGTTTTAATGGGAATGCCTCACAGCGGTTCAATGTCTCCTCTATCGCCTCTGGGTGAGGCTTGTTCAAGAAGGGACCTCACTGCCATGCATGAGATCTTGGAGAAACTTGGATACAAAGACGATGAAGGAGTTGCAAATGAGGTATATATGTTGACATTTGACAGATTTTTAAGTTAAGTAAATGGTTTTATTTCGTTCAGTTAGGTCCCTAAGGGTTTCGTGTCATGTGTGTATTTGTGTAAAACATGGGGTTTTGGTGCAGCTGTCGTTTCAGATGTGGACTGACCAGATGCAGGAGACATTGGTCTTGAAGAAAAAAGGGGATGCCTGTTTCAGACAGAGAGACTTTAGAGAAGCAATTGAGTGCTACACCCAGGTCAGTTTTTTGCAACTTAAAATCGAAATCAATGCCATTGCCCAAAGACAGATTTAGATGATGGAAATGTATTGTTTGTTGGAAATGATGGGAAGCAGTTCATTGAAGTGGGGATGGTGTCTCCAACGGTATTTGCACGCCGGAGTTTGTGTTACCTGATGAGCGAAATGCCGAAAGAAGCATTAGAAGATGCAATGCAGGCTCAGGTCATCTCTCCTGTTTGGCACGTCGCTTCCTATCTCCAGTCTGCTGCTCTTTCTTCCCTTGGAATGGACAACGAATCTCAAATTGCACTCAAGGAGGGCTCCAACCTTGAAGCCAAGAGAAGTTCACCCCCCCTTCAGAAGTAAAAGAGAGCGCATTTTCCAGCATGGGTTCTTGGTGAAAAGAAAACGAAGGGAACTTATTACCAAGCAAGTACCCCCGGGGGTTTAAATCTGAAGCAACGGAAGGAAACATGCAAAGAGAAGAGAAAGAAAGCTATCCATGTCTCCTCAAATGGTGAAATATTTTTTGGAAGTGGCATCCTTGTTTTCTTCAGCGAAGAGAGAGAGGAGTGATGGGTGTTGGTGTTTTGCTCTTCTTTTTGCCTCTTTTTACAGGGCACTGAAGGAGTCCTTTCCTGCATTTTCTCTTTTGAGGGGTAATGTTCTAAAAACTTTCATGGCAAGAAACAGGGATTTGTTTTCTTCTTTCTTCTGGGATATGCCAACGCGTCTAATATAATATAATGTGAGAACGAAATCATACGTCTTAAGAACAACGGTTTCCCTTGGAGTTTCACCATGAACTCAGCACGTGATATTTTGTCAAATCCAACATGGCTTGGTACACCGAAAAGTCTCTGAAATGCGCAATAATGAGGGTTTTCTGTGTACAAGCATCCAACTAGGCTTCGAGATGTTCTCTAAGGCACTAATCTTAGATGCTACTGATAGGATGCGATGGGATCCTTGAGCAATCTTTGAAAAAACCCCAGAAACTTCACTAGTCAACTTACAAGTACAATCCATCTAGAATCACATATCAACAACTACACCGGAAAAACTGGAGAAAGATGGAAACAGATCAGGTGTTTCTTGACCGTCTAATAGCCGGATGTACAGTTTTGTTCCCAGAATCGGGTTTGTCAATTCCGTCTATACATTCTCTTTACAACGATGGGTATAGTGGCAATGTTCCCAGATTCTCTTGGAGAAACAAAAAAAAAAAAAAGCCACACTCGAACTTGTCTGAGAGCGTATGACCACATGCGGTAATAAAAAGACAAATAATCACACACAGTTGGGTTGGGTTTTATTATAAATATATTTAAACCATGCAACATACGGTTGATTTGATGTTGTCCTTTATTTTATATATATGGAAAAAAAAGGAAAGACAGGGAAATAGAACAAAAATGCTGTTTTTATATATCATATCCGACGTTTCAGAGATTAGAGGTGAGGGAGGGGGGCTTGGGAGGCCTGGCTTCTCTTAGCAACGCCTCTTGCGTCAATGACACCACCAGCTGTGTTCACCGTTTCAACATCAACCCAAACCAATGCAGTTAGACATAAACACCCGAGTCATTGGTTCTCCATATGTATATATTCTACTCTCATCTTTTTTCCAAAAATATACACACTAAATAGATCCTAAAACTTGCTTCCTAATCAACAACAACAAAAAAACAAAACATATCTTGATGGAAATGGCAGACGTACCTCTCCTTTTCTGTTGAACATCTCACCAGTGACAAACCCCCTCGTCTGGAATGCGGTTGGACTCACCATCTGGAAATACGGCATTGTCAAACCCGGCAAATATTAGAGGAGCTTGGCAATTGATAATCACCTTACAAAACAGAAGCAGAACTACTTTCTTATCCTTTCCAACTACAACCTCTCTCTTCTTTTTTAGTCCCAATCAGCCTCCGGTATCACAGAAACGTCAAACACTTTAGGCTGATCTATATCCTAATACTAAACACCCCCATCAAATCTTAAGTCAGGCCCAAGCTTCACAGGATGGGATAGAAATTGCCACCTACACTTGTACTTCAAATATTTTCATACAAGTTTGGTCTGCATCATATAATAAACACGTGTTTTACTACACTTATAAGAAAAATATTTGAGGATGTTTTAAAAGAACAGTGCAAAACCTCAAGATCTTGTGTACCCGTTGAAAACATATTCTCAAACTTTTATTTGAAACAAATTGACTCTAGAATGCATCGATAGGTTCAGAAAGAGACCTTAAACTTAGATCCTCAATGCAATCTCAGGCTGTATAAGTTTGAGTTTATTTGAGCACCATTCAGTGCGCCTGGTTTCTTAGGCACCTCTTAGTGACTTTGATTTTCTTTTGGCTAAATAAAAGTTTGCACTCATTTCCGTAATATTGCATATTTTCAAAAAATTATGGTTTTTATTGTTCAAGAATAGGAGAAAAGAAAGGAGAAGAGAGGTCTATCGACAATTACCACAAACAGTAACCAGTCATCGGCTCTTAGAGGTCGGTGAAACCACATCCTACAATGCATTTGGGAATGTTAGAAAGGATTACCCGAGTATTAACTTGGAATCTTGTCAATACTCTTGCTCTCTTGTGTTCAGGAGGAGCAGCAAACTTGTCGTTACACCAACAAATTGACATTTCACAAAAGGAGAAAAAAACTTACGAGTGGTCCAGGCTAAGTGCAGCTAGTCTCAGACCTCTTCTCCGGTGAGGGTTCAAACTGAGACCAGCGAATATCAGATCCGATGCATATGCAACCACACATCTGTAAAAAAAACCCATGCTCATAAAGTCGTAATTGCTTTGCTAAGAATGACCAGTGGAATCTCAGTAAGAGCTGGCTTGAAACTCAAACGAACCACATATTTGTCAAAATATTAGTAGAAGATGCCCAAGTTTTTAACACTGTTGATTGAACTCAAAACAATGAAACACCAGAGATCCACCTTTTACACTGGATTTTGCTCCAGATATTCTAAAAATCTGAATCATTAAGGGCAGGCGACAGAACCTTTTCGCTTTTTAGGGCCATGTCCCCTTTATGATTTATAGTATCATTCAAAATGAATATAATCGGACCCATTTCACAGACTTAAAGAGCTCACCGGTGCAAAGCTTGGTCATCTGACAGTTTACCCTTGGCTCTAAACCAATACCTTAATCTGCATCAAGAAGATTTTGTCAACTAAGTGATTTATCTTCAAAAGTAGTTGAATGCAGAGACGTATTATTAATCATGTTTGGTCAGGTGGAACGTATGAATAATTGGAAGTGGACAAAGTCATAAATCGATTTATGAATGGCTAAGATGAGCATCTAACCTCGGAGGTGATTTTGTCTGATTTGTAGAACTGTTGGGCTCACAAAACCGAATCTCTATGGGCCAGGGGACAAAATTTGAAGTAGCAACTTTGTTCCTGTAGCTCCTGTGGATAAACAAAAGAATGAGTGCATCATCTTGAACTCCCCAAATAATTGGACATGCACTGGAAGCATTAGGACTCTCTGAACGAGGGAAAATACTTACATAGGAAGACGGGGATCAGTTATACGCCTTTCACGCAGCTCCTCCATTGATAGCAGCTGCAGAATATTGGGGTTAAACAACAAACTCCATGATTCACGGTAACCATGGAATTAGGGAGAAAAAATTACTGTATCAGGATCAGGAACCGCTGGCATTTTTGTCTCCTGATGGTCAAATCCTTCTTGCTCTTTCTGTAAAATCAGTGAAAAAAAATTACAAGCCATTTCCCTAGGTGTGTTGGAGTCTAGTGTTAAAAATGCATAGAGATTTCAAAACCCTTTTCCTTTTGAAGGAATACTATGACAAACCTGAAATGATGCAAATAACGTGAATATGACATTTCCTTTCTGTATAGCATCCACTCTCCGTGTTGCAAAGTTGTTACCATCACGTATTCGATGGACTTCATAAATGATGGGCACTGAAAAAATTCACATACTATTATAATCTACCAAATGTGTCCAATATCTGACAGCATCTAAGAAAGTCTTAAGAAAAAAAAAACCCTCGGGATATAGAATGCCAACAAGCTTTTAACGGGGAAAGAAAAATACAACTGCTTGGTTGCAAAATCGCATTGGTATTGTGTACTTACTGTTAAAATCTCCAACTTGAAGAAAATAGGAATGTAAACTATGGACAATCTTAAGGAAATCAACAGTTTTTGATGCTGCAGCAAGTGCCTGCGAAAATGTTGGAAGAACATTGTCTTAGTGGATACATTTATCACCACAGCCTGATACAGTTGACACATAACAAGCCACATATACTAATAAATGAATGAGCATGGTTTATAAAGATATAATGTAGCATTACTTGATTGGAGAAGATGCTATACCTGTCCTACAAATTGTCCACCAAAAACTTTTCCAAATTTTGGGGCCTCAGGTAATGTGATCCCCCGGAATATATTCAACTATGATAAAAGAAGAGCACAAAATAAGAGACGCACTGATAATGCTTAAATAAGATTGATTCGAAGGAACATGAAAGAGATATGTTTTAAATATGAAGATTAAAACTTGAACATGGAAGAGCTGAATGACAGTAGCAGAAGGCTCATACTTCTAATGGCTCCAGATGCAATATGTGTTCCACAAGAGAGCATGTCTCAGGTGCCTTCTCTGAGTGCCAGATTGACTTTGTCTCAAGCAGAGCACAATGATCGCATGGCAACAATAAACAGGTGAGCTGCCATAACAGGGGGGGACAAAATTACTCAGCACTCTGTTCTCACTAGGAATTAAGCATATGTGTTGAGCTTACATTCATCAATCTGATCGCTTAAAGCGTTTGTAATCTACAGAAAGAAAAAGAAAAAGAAAAACTGAAGCAATTGAAGGGAAACGCAGATGACTTAGCTACCTCAGATAGAGCGACTACGTCTGCTGAATGGACAGGCCCGGATATACCTGGTGCGGAACAAGAAATGAAAATCACGTTCATTCCCCAGGATTAATTTGCAGCAATCTACTTTAAACAATGATAATTGAAGAAGGACCAGTGATGTTGAAAGAATCATTGTTTCACCATGACCAAAGTAATCATATCGTTTCAAGAGAAACTCGGGACGGTTTTCCTCTCCGATCGATCCAGAAACCTCGGCCTGCAACCAAAAGACAATTGGAATCAGACACAACGTGATGCCTAGGTCAGTCGTGTATATTCCTTTGGCTATGATGTTGCATACACGACAGAAAGAAATTCAGACAAACCTCTCCTTCCCATATGAAATAGACTCCATCCCAAGCTTGATTTTCGTGAACAATATACTCCCCTTTGCCTGCAACACGACATAGCTGAAGATCACATTCCAGCAAAACCAAATCTCCGTAGCTTAAATACAACGCGGACCATAAAGAAATAACGAATCCAGAAGAAATTCAAGATTCGGTCAGATAGAAATAGCCGGAATTCTGGAAGAAGAGAAATCGAAATTCAGAATCGTAGAGATCACTGACCGAAACGCTTGAACACGACAACTTCAGAGATTCGCTTCAGAGAAGAACTCGGTAACCTCTGCAGCAGGGGGACGTTTCCCAGGAACTCGACAACTGCAAAACCAAAACAACAACACTGGGATCAACCGGGAAAGGAAAATTGTGTTCGTTTTCCAGTTTTCCTATTTCTTTTTCGACTTTCTCGGCGGCCAAACAAAGGTAAGACGTTCTCGATTCCGGCTTACCTGACTCAGTGTTCATGGCGGAGCCGGAGCGTCGGGAGAAACGCCGCGTTAATGGTATTGTGAGAATGGATGGCTAACGAAGTCGATTCTTCAGGAAATAACACTATTACCATACATACGTTTACACGGTAATTATTGAGTGAGATTTGGTATGTGGTAGAATCAGTGGAATTCGTTCGTCTCACGGACACGCGTCATTTGTTTAATCTAGATTATTATTATTTTATATATATATTTTTTTTACTATTTAAAGAACAAATAGCTGTTTAATGATCACATCAACAGTAACAATCAAGATGCTTTTTTATCTTTTCACTTGAAGTTTTCAAAATACAAAACTTGGATTTTAATGCATAAAATATGGCGACGGGTGAATTGCGTATGCCACTTGATGATATGCTCTAAAGGCCTAAAAGGTTACTTCACTAGCTCGTGGTCTTCTTTATCCGACCATAAAGGCCGAAACTGATGTAACAACAACATCTGGGGAGCAGGCAGCCAGCTGTAAGTGGGAGGACTGAAGAGTCAAAGATGGGCAGACCTTGATGGAGACAAGAGTGACTGAGCCCACGGGAGAGTATTGTATGTAATAAATGGGCCTTTGCTCTTCAACCCCAATATTTGTGTACCCTCCCGAACTGCAATAGATGCATCCTCCTTCCACGGATGCTTTCCTTTTGCTCAATTAATATGGCATGATCATATGATGTTTGTTAAGTACAATTCCTTAATCATGGGCAGCAAGATTGGCTCTAATCATTCACTTCACTTGGTCGCCCTGGTAAACTTAACCATTTCATCCGGGTCTTTTGTCTTGCACCATGGGAGGCAACCCTAGATCTGAGACTGCTTCCCCTGCAAGTGGAAGTAACAAAAGTGATCATTGGAAAAAGAAAAAGAAAAACTTTCTATGATGTTTTCGAAATGACAGAATCTGTACCCTGCATCCGTCTGACGAATCTCTCGAATTCTTTAAAGTTACGCGGGCGCATGAGAATTGGGGAAAGCCTAAGATAGGTGAAACAAGAGAGGTGGCGCTGGTCAGGATCGTTAAGGGGTTTGGCATTCTCCAAGATCTTGTTGTAGCCTTCTCTGTCATAACAAGGAAGTGCATTCTCGCTTGCTACGGGTATGCCAACATCCCATGCCGCATTCAGCACCTTGATATTTGCATGAAGCATCATCATCACATCAGGAAAATAAACAAAATGATGCATGTTTAGATAAGATAACCTTATATAAGAAACATGGAAGTTGGGAATTTAGCATAAACCAAGTGAATTCTATGCCTTATGACAGGCGGTATGTTGGGGAAGTTTTACCTGCCAAACTAGTCCTTCTGGGTCAGCCAGTGCCTCAGGGAAGTCCTCATGTTGGTCGAGTGTGCGTAACTCCACGCACGTGAAATTAAGAGCAGCGTCATGTTTCTTCAGCATTGCAGCTATCGGGGCGTAGCCATCCCGGTTTGATGGGTTGTAGAAGCCAGCAGTAAGCTCGGCAGCATGACTAGCTGTTTTATACCACCAGTGTATACCTGAAAGCTTCTCTCCAGTAAAAAAAAGGAGTACATAAAGATTCTTTTATTACAAGCGGGAAACATAGAGTGAATGTCTATTCAACGACCACCCCTAATGGGCTTATTTTCAAAAATTGATTACCTTGGCAGCAATTCGATTTCCTTCAAAAGCTAAATTTGCCAGGGCAAGAACACGGTCACCATGGTCGATCAGAACTCGCGAGTACCAGTTGAGAAAGAATCTGCCATAGTAGCTGTCGTAGTCACCTCCATCCCGAAAAAATCCAGTCTCATGTGGCATGGAGTTGTAAGAACCAGCATTGTCAGGTCCCCGAGCCCAGAAACTGTGCCCTCTTGCCTCTGCTGCATCCCTCAAGTACTTTAACAAATATTTGTCATAACACTGTGCTGACACAACAGAGAAGGGAGAAATATATCAATAACCAGGCCACTAATCAGAGGTCATAACAATGATGAAAGATATTACTGTCATTTCAGATATGCCATTGTTGCATGAAAAGATTACCTGGAATTCTCCGATACCAGGATATCTCCACCCATGTTTTGCAGGATACGAAGGATACCTCAGCTCTCCACAAGGACCAAGACCAACTTCAATTTCAGAGATAACTCCATCCTCAAAAAATTCGTCAAATTCCACCCGGAAGCTTCTCATGTAATCAAAGTAAACCTACAGTTTAAAGAGGATTTGCTCACTACAAAATTCACAAGATATAGATCTGACAGTGTAGGATACCCTACCTCTAGAGCAGTCCGTCCTCTTAAGGCCCGTTGCTTGTCAATCCCCCAAGTAAGGCATTCAGAGTTATGCCTGCCAGCTTTGTTGGTGAAATATATGTCGGGATTGCTTTGACCAATTTCTCTCACCCACAGGGGGAGTGGTATATGTACATCATCTCCAACATTGCCCCCACATTCATGGAAAGACATAACAACCTGAAGCCAATATAAATTGAGAATGTGGAAACACAGTCAAGTCTACGTATCAATCAACTATTGAGTATAAATTGATTTTGAGAAGCTCAGTTATATCGTTAGTCAAAACACTATGCAGAACTGTTTCCCAAACAATGGATTTGAATATTAGTATCATTCATTGTAAGCAAGATCTCATGGAAGCAACAAAGAAGACGCATAAGACAGGAACTACAAGCATGAAGAAAAACAGATACCTGTATCTTAAGCCCAAGGTCGTGTATCATTCGAAAGAGTTTCCTGTAGCCACTCCAATTATACACCTGCGGTGTATGAGCCTCTACTATCCCCCACCAGCAGTCGACCATAACACCATCAACATCGACAGACTTCAAAGTTATTAACTGATGCAAGAGCCCTTCCGGATCAACCACCTCAGAGTTCACATCAATGACTCCTAACTATTGTTCAACATGATGTATTTTATAAGAACAGACTCAGAATAAGGATTACAGGGCCTTTGGGAGGCAGGCCAGCCAAAACACATTTCTCGAACCAAATTATATGCAGAATACTTACTGGTAACATCACATACACGGGAACATACGCTGTGCCCGCAAAGTCACGCTCTTGGAAATTCTGAACTTGATCATCGACCTAACAAAGTGAGCAATACTCAATCAAGTGGAATTCTTTTAACGAAAATCTAGTTGAAAATTTTCACATGAACATCCCAATAAAGAACAATTTTCCCGACACCAAGCAACCAACGTTGTCGCAATCCACAGAATCAGACCGCGGGATCTCAACTACCAAAAATTCGGCAAAGGATTAACAATAGAACCCTTATAAGCCAAGAACCTAAATCGATTTCCACAGTTACCAGTTGTCTCTGTATCTTTAATAGATCACCGGAAGCACCCACTGAATCTTCAGAGGGAGCTCGATAATCGCTATCCTCTTCTCTCCGTTTCGCATTTGCCAAAACCAGCGAACTAGAACGAACAGCAATGCGCAGGCCTCCGAATTTGTACGGCACTGAACTACGAACTCCGGGCGATACCCTCGCTGTAGCTTCGAATTCCATGCTCAGCGGATTCCGAGCATGAATCAAACTAATCGAAGATACCGCCATACGAATTCTCAAGTGACCTTCAAACTCTCTCACTGCACTGCAGCACTCCAATTCGGTGGAAAATCGTTCTCGATTCCAAATTTTCTCGGAAAACAAACAGGGGAAACACTAGACAACGGTTGGGGGCGGGGAAAAAAGGAAACCCACGTGAAGCTCTCTCGGCTGCTGCAACTTTTCCTATTGATGCAAGCAATTTGAAGGTTCCCGGACCACTCATATAACAGACAACACTTTGGTCAGAGAAAGAGGGTTAGAAAAAAGGCCTCAAGCGCGAAATCCGAAGCCCAACTGACCCGGCCCGACAAGCCCGTGTCTCATTTAACCTGAGGTCCGAAAGCCTGAAGATTAATGGACCTATATATTTTAGGCTCAAGTCTTTATTATTTTCGGGGGTTCGGGGTTCGGGTTTAATTGACATCCTTAATATGTCCTCACAGTAATCGCCAATGATTATCCGACACGTGGTAAATGCGTCAGTGACCATATTATGCCAAATTCAATGATTGGGCCGAAGAGTGGCCCAACCCAACTACAAATGAGCTGAGAGTACACGACGACGTTTAGAGCCCATGGATGATGGACCCAACCATCTCTCAATGTGGAGCCTGTAGAATAATTCAAATACCTTAAAGATAATATGATGTTTAAATCGAAAACATTGTAAAATAATTTGGATATTCACGATTCTTCGATCAGAATCAATAATCAAATATTTCTAGACTCTGGTCCAATATAAATGTACAAGTATAGCTGTGTTGGAGTTACAGTGAAACATCAAATATGATGTTACAGTAAATAATCAAATATTTTGCGTAAAACACGCAGTATTCCGCTTTTTTACGACTAATGGCAAACATTTCTCAAATTGCTAAATGTTATTTTTATTCGAGTCTGTGTTGCATTCGCACGAGTGTAAATGAGATCTTAATTTCGTTTGCCAATAATATTATATTTTGGGACGAGTGACAAATTAATTAATAACAAGCAACGAGACATTAGAATATTAGGTGATTGCCATCCGAAGACGTGCACGTTAGTGGGGGAGTTCGATGTCTGGTGAGTCCAGTCGGTCCATAAATGCACCAACGGTGCTTCTAATGGGACTTTATTTCGCATTTAATATTTGGCCTCATCCAACAATAGCCACTTTGCCTCGCTCTCATTGATGTTTCAATACACCCAAAATAATCTCGTGTTTCTTTCCAAGTATCGTGATTAACAAACAAAATTAATTAGCATTTTCCGGCGACTAATCTGCAACCATTTCAAATCCAAAAAAATAATGTCAGTAGGGTGAGTGGTTTCAATTAAGATACACATTCTAGACGTTTTTTTTTTGTAACCGGATTTTCTAGGCCGAGGCCCAGACTAATTCCGGAGACGGAAACCAGCCATGTGATTTGAATTATACGCTCACTCCCCATCCTGGGATTCGAACTCCGGACGGGACAGACAATTTGCACCCCCGTTTCATCGGTTGAACTACTCAGATTGGGTAAAACATTAAGAGATCGATGGTTCTAGACGTTGCAGATTCGTATTCTGCAATTTAATTCCTGTAGAGGATACGATAGACACAATTACATGTCCATTTATATCTGCGAACAACCATACGGTCCATACCTGGGCGCATATATATTGCTTGTACATGCGGAAACATGAGTTGTCATTTCTCGACGTCGGACGATTAATTACCTGTTAAACCATTTTGTTTCATCGCTATTGCTGCTTGCTTGCTGCTTTGGTATAGTTGTTTTCACAACTTTGTTTGGGACCAGTGGTTTCTAAACACGTTTTCTGCGTGCATACATACATACATTTAACACAACGGCTATGCATGCAGAAATCTTTCTGCCCCTAGCTACGTGTAATATTTCTTTTACTGTCCTCTTATTTATTGCACATCTACATCTGAGAACGATTAAAAATTACACGAGGTGTTAATTCGAGGCCACAAGACCATATAGATATCGTTCGGTTTTAATGTTGCTTAAGCATTGATTTTAAAATAATGTTTTTGTCGTTACAGCAATAAATGTGCTTAAAACCACGTTAATTTTGGAGCATCGCTGAGTCATGCGGGCATCGTGTCTAGAGAGAGATGGAACGGAATCCATGACTCCCTCTCTCTCTCTCTCTCT